TTAAATACATGGACATGGGTGAGTGAGCAGTAAATACTAGGAAGAGACAGGAGACAAACAGCCCCATTGCCCCCAGATCATTCACATCCATCTACCCTGCGGTGTGACTCGGTGAAAATCAAAGGGAAGAGAAACAGCGATTGTGTAACATGAGCTGCAAAGCTGCTGGCAAGCAGGCCAGGTCCTGATGCATCTCATCTCCAGCAGCTGAAATGACTGCTGGGAAGCATGGCCAGCTATGGTACCAGCTTTCACCACTTGTACCTGGGGTTCTGACTCTCAGCTCTCCCACATTTATAATACGGGGTTAGGCACCATCCTTGAAAATCCCAGGTTGCTGTAAGGTAGCCTGTGAGTTGCTGCTTTCCCAGAGCAAACCTCCTGCTCACATTGGTGGAAGAAGTCATTGCTTGAGGCAGCCAGATTTGTTGGGGAGGTCTTCATTACTAGTACTTAAAGACCTCCAGCTACATGACCTTATTTTCTCTGCTTGGCATTGTGCTGCTTCAAGAGCCCAAGCTTTCCTGTGTATCCTGTTTGGATGGGATAAACTCAGAAAAATCCAAGTATTTTACTTTATCCAGTTCAGAAGGAAATCTCTAACATAATTCCAGGTAAAAGGGAAATTGCTAGTATAATTTGCCCCCCTTCTATGGATGACATTAAAGACATCGCTGAATAACAGTGAATCCTGCTGGAAACCCCTGCCCCATGGAGGGCAGTGATGGCAGCCTGTTGGCCACAGCAAAGGGGCAGCCTGGCCAGTGCCTCACAGTCCATGCACTGAGCATCTCTGGCACAAGCAGTGCTGAAGGCAACCCGCCTGTCCCAAGTGGCTTCTGACAAGCATCCTCCTCTGTCTTCACAGCTCCTTAGGAGACAACCTATTTCTAGCCACTATAGCATACTTACGCATCCCATATACAACATCTATTGTACAATTTCATCTCTTTCTATGTAGTGTATATAAAAGCTTGACTTTATGAGACACGGTGCCAACAGACAAAAGATGGCCAAGTGAACCTCCAAGTGTAGTTTTCCTGCCTGGGAACTCAGTGGAGATGGCAAGTATCTTCTGCTCCTTGCATTCCTCAGCCATATCATTCTCCCTCCAGCAGGCTCTCTCCCTAAAAGTCATCCTGAGGCAATAATACCGTGACATACTAAGAATTACATTGTTCATCTTAATTTGCCTGCTGAATTACCTTTGTTTAATCAAAAGGCTCCTCAATGGTGCTTGACATAGTCCCTTAAGGCTGATTCCTTGGAGGTATCATTTTTACTAAAATCTTAGCCCTCTTGTTTTGTAATTAAATACAAAATGGTATTGAACCTACCTCGTTTCTGGTAGACAGTTTCCCATCCTTCCACTGGGTCTCTGCACCCTTAGATAGCCAATTTTGGCACGGTTTCCCTGCTTGGCTGTGTTGTTTTCTGCACTGGCTGTGTGACAGAACAAAACTCTGTGACCAAAGAGGCTCGTTGTATGTCACACTGAAAGCATATACAGCACCCAGATATTGCGCACCACAAAAAGCACCCCAAACCCTCTACCACTGACAAGTGGGGGTGGGAAAGGAAGATGGGTGAGTGACGTGGCTTCCTGGGGTGCCAGGGCCAGCAAGGGCGTGCTGGTGGCCTCCACCAAGCGTTGTGGCATGAACACCATCCAGGATCCCTTGATTCAAGCAGTAGCTCGGGGCACTCTCAGCAAGAGGAAACCACATGCCTATCCGTCTTGGTGTTCTGAGAAATGGCATGACGAACCCAGTGGTGAGAAACGAGCACTCAAAACCCCAACAGAGCACAGCCTTTGCTAGTGAAGCTTTCCAGTGTCATCTGGTTTTGCTTCCTCCTCTCTTTTTTTTGTCTATTTTTTCGATCACTTTTTATTTCTTCTGAGCGACAAGGAAGAATTAAAACACAAGAACTTAGGAAGAGATCACACATCAAATACCTCTGAGTGAAGCACGACCAAGGATAAACAGCCGTGGCTGCATGCAAACTGCCCTTGTGCCCTCTGATCTAAAACTTGTGCACAAATGAGCACCTCCTGGTCCTGCAGCATCCCTCTGCTCCTGACTGCAGCTCCTGCTGCAGCCAGCCCTGGTGCAGCGATATGGGCTGCAGCGTATGTCAGTAGGTACGTGTGCCATCTTTACCTCAGTGTACTGCAGCTCTCCAACTCCAGCCAAGATGCAGAGGGATTTGCAATACGCAGGCATTATTTATGAGCATGCTATAAAGTGCCAAGCCTGCTCAATTGCATTCGACAAGCTGCTTCCTTATAGTGGTACCTACTACTAGTACTGATGGACCTAACTCCAAAAGTCGCTACAATTTAGCAGTGGATGAAACCATTTCCACCTGTTTCGTTCTCTTTACAGGCAATGCCTTGAGAGGTGGCACTGAATCCTGCTGACAAGGTAGGCACCTACCCAGTTGTTCATCCTGGTTTGGATAGTTGAAAAAAGAATGGTTTAGATTGATGGTTGATAAAACAATGTTTTATACTACAATTGGGTCTTAGTGCTGTCTATTGATTGCCAGTGTCTTCCAGAAGTTCTACTATATTGATATCATTAGTCACTTGGGCTGTGTGGAAATGTTGTCACTTAGTGACTGTGCAACTAAGTCTTGTATGTCCTTTTCTCATTTACTGGGAGCTAGAGACACCATCCTAGTGCAGCAGAAGGGAAGGGGACGATGTGAATCACTGGGTTTTTCAAGCAGTGGTTTCATAACTGTCTTGTGCCTAATTTATCCCAATGCTTTCACTGGCTTTGGAAAGTGCCTGAAGCTTAGTCATGGTGTGCTATCCTCATAAATGAAGTTGCTGTGCAGCTGAAGTGGGAGAGCATGAGATCTGACTGAGGAGCAAGGAGGAGGGCTTTAATCCACCTAAAGTCTATGCAAAGATGAGCAGATTGGGAACTATCTGAATAAATACCTTTAAAGATACACTCACAAAATTGAAGTAAGTGGTGGGGTTAATGGGTGCACCTCACATTTCAATGAATCAAATGCTGATGTTGGCTAGTCCCTAGAGGAAGGGGGATGTCAGAAAGGGATGCTGCAGCAGTCAGATACACATGCAAGCGCCCAAGCACATGGGCTCAGAAGGAGGGCCCTGCATGCCCGGTTCCCTGTGGCATCAGGAGCTGCCAGAGGAGAGGCAGAGCCTGGAAGGAGCAGGCAGCATACGTGGTTCTTTATCACCAGGTAGGGATGCTGGAAACAACGTAAAGTCAAGACTGCAATTGCCATCTCTGTCCTTTGCTTGGATGTTGCTAAGACTGGAGGTTTGCTCTTTATTAGAAGATCTTCGTCGTAGCAGCACCCAGGTTTTCAACCCAGGTTGTTTGGAAGGATTTTTGGAAGATTAGAGTGTTTCTGGCAGAAAATAAAATGTTTAAAGCTGACAAGAACGTTTTCCATGAACAAAGACAACAACCGGGCTTGCATGGGTCTTTAAATCGAGTGCAGTTCCTTTTGTGATCACTAAGTGGTGAAGTTTAGCCATGAGGATTTCAGCAGCAGCATCTGCAAGCTTGGGGAAAAACCTCCTGGCAATATTCTTATTTATCTATTCTCAGTTTTGGAAGATCTGAGAGGCTGATAATCAAATGTTTGCCTGTGAATCTCCATTTCAAGGCTGGCATTTTTCCTTCTGATTTGGTCCAGAGCCTTTGGAGATAGATACTTGAGCTGCTCAATAGCTTTAAAACGGTCTGGCAAACCCCACATTGATTTCACATTTGGGTCAGGCCAAAATGTCCTTCCGGAAAACTTACAGGAAAATGAGACTATAAAAATAACACAAGGAAAGGGAAACGAGATGTGATACCGCAAAGGGAAAAGACAGTACTGTGAAGAAATGACTTGAACCTACTCAAAAGCACACCCAAATTGTTTCTTTAAGGAAATACTGATACTTAAGATGTTTCTATTTTCATATTAATTAATTAATTGCCACTTGGGAGGAGAAAATTAACTGTGTATGTAAGCATCACTGAGATTGTTTTTATTATGTGGTGATTTGGGCCCGTTGGCTTTCCCCAACCTATTTGCATGATTCAGGAGTAATCTTTGTGGCAATTCTACTATAAGAAAATGCATGTAAGGAAATCCTAGCTGTAAATCAGGAACATGAAACGTTCTTTACCAATGTATTTTTGATTAGCAAACAAGGTCTCGCAGGCTAGTTGCCCCACTGTGTGGTGCATAAGCAACCCGCAGGATGAGGGTTTTGTTGGTTTCAGCAATGTGATCACAGCCGGCAGGGAAGAGAAACCCCGGTGTAAAAATGACAAGGCAAAAAGGCACAAAACCAATGATTCAGGGTTGCTGTGTGAGCTAACTTTCTGCCATCTCAGATGAGGGTGGCGAGGAAAGGGTGTGCTTCTAGGACTGCAGCACTGTCTACCCGAGGGACCTGCAGAGATGGGGAAAACCTCAGGGAGAGGCTCTGATTCTTCACTGGAGCAACATATGACCTATATCCTGGGTTGGGTGCTTGGCTTGCTCTGATCTCCTTACCTGGAAAGAGAGTTGTGTTACAGCAGCATCATCAGCTCCAGGGTCTCCACTGATCTATAGATGGGGTGCAGACCCTTAACTGGGCCATCTGATGGGGACATTTGTACCACTCATAGCAGCGTGACTCTTGACCACAGCTCCCTTCCCTGAGCTCAGCTGCCCCGCAGATGCTGGGTACTCAGCCAGCTTAGAAACCTGAGCTTGTATTTAGGCACTTGCAAAAACCTAACCTTATGGAAAAGGCATTTGTGAAAAACCCAGCTTTGTAACCCATTACCCCTGCCTGTCTGCAGCCCAGCTGGGAAATCTTTGGTTTCTGGCTCTGTCATTTGTTGTCATGTCCTCTGGAAGTTTTCTTATTCAGCTGAGTGCTGGTGGGGCAGGAGGTTTTCATGAGGTGCCTTTTACCGTACGTGCAGGGAAGGGGAATGTCCCAAGAGTAAGAGCAAAGTGTATAAAAAAAAGAGGAAGCTGTGCTCAATAGGTCACTCGCTCTCTCGTCTCGCTGAGAACGCAGCGAAGATGATGGTCGCTCCTCTGCTCTTCTGCATCTGGGCCTTTGCATCAGGTAACTCCGTGTCTGTCTGTCTTTTTACTGTAACAGCATTAGGGACCTCGGTGGCCCTGCCAGCCTGCTGCAGCCAAGTGCTGCGGTCCCCACCTCGCATCCCCTGAGGCAAGCCCAGTGGTGACAGGGCACTGCAGGGACCGCACCGCTTGCATGATGCGTCAGACATGTCACTGCCCTGGTGGCATCCTCTAATTAATTTACCACCATTGCACCTATAAGCTGCAGGCAAATTTATGAATTTATTGCAATTAGCAAATCATAAGTGAGGCAAGTGTCCAGATGTCCCTAATGACCCATATGACTGGAGTTTGATTTCATCTCCTGTTGTTGCTGCGATTTAGGTCAGAGTATGGCACTGCTTTGTTTTAGTCAAGACAGAAGTACTTGTAGTGGTGAACATGGTTCTTGTAGGTATCTGCTCAGGTCACTAAAAGCCTATGTGTGTTACTTTGTTTGGTTTTTCTGTCATTAAAAATCCGGTAGAAAAGCCTGAGTTTGTTTCAGACTAGCTCCCATGGTCATGGATTGTGTTCTGCCTATGGCACTACTGAGCTCTGACAAGTAATATGACCGGCACAGCTTCAGAGCTGGCTTCTTGGTCTCTAGCAGAGCTCTGCCTACCCATGGCCACAGCTGAACTGTCAAACCTGGGAGCATCCGTTTTGCCTGCTTCTCCCCTTACCAGTTTTTCCACATGTGTTTGTGATTTGTCAGAGGAGACTGATGGTTTCTTTTCTTCCCTGGAGATCTTTAATATCACGGTGTTCATGCTATGAATTCTGTCTGTGGGCCTTTAACAAGGTCTCAGCTGTTTCCCAGCTGCACCGCCTGAAGCCTGAGACAGGCAGCTTGCCTGTGGTCCTCCCTACCTTGTTTTTTCCTGCTGCCTTTCCGTTCTCTCATCAGTCTCTAACAAGAGTGGATGCACAATGTATAGTGATGCACATAGTAGTTTTTAGCAGCTTTACCAATTTGCTTCTGTCTGTGCCACAGGGGTGCTCAGAGAGCAGTGATGCACCGATGGCTGTTTGGTCATAGGCACAGCTGAACATTTAGGGAACACCTCCACACTTGCCAGTGGGATAACAATCCTAGCAGATAGAAATCAGTTCCTTCCAACATCAGTGCCGCCTTTCTCATAGTGCTCTCTGCAGCACAAGTATCAGGCTGGAGAGATGCTTTGTGCGAGAGGTGTTGGGTCCAGCAAAGCTCTCAGGGCACCTATTTTGAGCTGCTTTTTCATATTATTCCCTGGATGAAGGGGCAGAGAGACTGCCCAGAGCTGCTCTGCTCAGGAGTGAAGACAAGGGGTTGCGGGGGGCCTCTGCTGAGGTGGGTTGCAGAATGGTGGTAAGAAACCTCCTTCTCCCCCAGGCTCTGTGCAGGTGATGCACAGAAAGGTCCAATCCGTTCAGGCAGGAGGGAACGTTACATTTGCATGCCAGTCAGTCACGAAAGAAGATGTGCTGCAGGTGACCTGGCAGAAGGAGACGGACGGGGCTGAAGACAACATAGCGACTTACAGCATGATGAACGGCCAAAAGATAGCGAAGGGCTACGTCGGCCACGTGAGCTTTGCCCACAGAGAGTTACGAGCCTCGGCCATCTCACTGCATGGAGTTACCCTCCAAGATGAAGGATGCTACAAGTGCATCTTCAACACGTTCCCCTCCGGGGCTCTCACCGGCAGGACGTGTCTCAAGGTTTACGGTAAGGTGTCATAATTGCTCATGGGCTGTCACCAGATGGGCAAGTTGTTTTCCCTGACCAAAAAAGCCTTCCCTGACTGCTAGTCACTGCTAAATTGCAGTGAGAAAGGTGGCTCAGCTTCCTGCCTGGTTTTACCTCCCTGGGGAAACCAACTGCTCAGATAGGTTTTTCTTCCCCTTTAAACCAACAACAGGGAGATCCAAAAGCTGATGTGCACCCCATGACTTCCTCCAAGTTTTGCTGGCTATGTGCTGCGCTGGCAGCTGGCCTGCCACAACAATCAACCCCATGCTCCTCGACTTCCTTTCACTGCTTCTTTCACCTCCTAAGCCTGGAAATCAGGCACTTTCTGTTCTTACTCTGCCTTGGGTCTTAAAATAATTCAATGTATTTAAAAGGCAGAGAGGCATTTGCAGAGTATAGCTTCAAAACCATAGTAAAAATGACAGTAGTTAGGCTGGGCTCAGGAAAGGCAGGCAACACATCAAAAAGGCTGAAATACAGTGCAGCTCATGGGCTTTGCTACATGAATATCTTGTGCAGGTCAGCATCAGTTAGCTTCAAGAAGGGAGAGAAAACAACTCATGAATCAAGGTGGCAATATTTGTCACCTGCATAGGATGCTGTCAAGTAGAAAGTACGAGCTGAAATAGAAACGAATAGATGAGCTCAAATGGAACAAGACTGAAAAGCTTTTTATCTTTCGAGGAAGGGTCTTGGTTTTCTGCCAGTGAGAAAGCTGAGACATTGACCATGCCCTGAGGGCACCCTGTGGGCTCCTGACTTTCTCATCTGTGAATCTGCTGTGGGGATGCTGGCCAAAGATCAATTCCCATGTGGGAAATATCAGCGTCTGGGACCTGCTGCTGGTGGTATGACCCCTGCAGAGTATTCTGTTTATCCCTAGTACCTTCTGCTGACAAAGACACAGACATATACGTCCACACACATACCCACGCGCCAGGAGTCCTGTGTGGGGACAAAGATGCCCCTGGCTTATAGGTAAAAAAGCAATAAGGAAAGAAAGCGGAGGGCAATACAAGGGAAAACCAAGTCTGGAACAAAAGTTCTTTTCCCTGCCTATTGGGAAAGCTCCTAGAGCAGAAAAGAGAAATCAGGAGAAATATTAACTCAATATTTCAGATATGAATTGGAAGGTGTTCCTAAAGGCAACCAGCTCTGAATCAAGTCATTCAGAGGGTAAACATCGGTTATAAATTACAAGAAAACATGGCAGTGCCTTGCAGAGGGATCCCATGCTTGTTTGTCATGTAAATCTAAACATAGAGCTAATCTGTTGTGTTTAGTTTGGGTATTTTTACCCAAGGGGGAGAAATATTTGCCCAAATCACCAGCCTTGTGACTATGATTCGTCCTGTAGCAGAGCACTGCTTTTAAAATCAGGTGTTCTTCTGCTGCCATGCGCACTCCCATGAGCATCCCATATGAAAGCACATCAACTGAGAAGGGTTTTACTTCTTTTGTGGGCAGGGAGGTCACTGCTCCTGCTTCACCAGCGTGGGCTATGGACCAGTGCCAGGGGTTGGCTCATGGGGGTCATGGAGGCCTCTGTGAAATGTGCTTTAGCACATGTCCTGGGAAGTCATCATGGATAAAACCAGTTTTCGGCACCGTGACAGAAGATTTTGGTTCACATATGATGTATTTCCTTGTAGCTGTTTTACGTGACCCTACTTAAAAGCCACAGTCTTACTCCCTTATTCCCCAGCTTATAATGATGGGAACCACTTGTCTGAGCAAGCCCGGAGGACTTTTGTGGCAGAGGCTTGCTATGATTCTATGACTCCCAGGGACAGAGTGTGAAGGCAGCAGGAATCTCCCAAGACTCAGGGATTCGGGGTGAGATGAGCAAGCCAGAGTCAGCAGCTGGAAACGAAATGCTGCCATGTCTTTGCCCTCAAGAGGGGACTACCAGGGAGTTTACAAGCTGGTAATTGCCCGATTACAGCAGCCTTCACAAGAGGGATGGGCACCATCGCTGCGTGACAAGAGGAAGTGAAACAGCGTAAGAACTGGATACAACACTGAGAAAAGAAGCAGGTATGAGTGGAGGAACCTCAGACCTGCCTGGCTGAAAACAGCAAACTGAAGAGAAAGCAGAAATCTCCTACCCTGTAACAAACCCCTTTTTGGACCAGAAGAGTTTCGAGTGTGCTTGGAGGGTCTCTTTTGAGCAGTCTGTTCCTCTTTCCCCTCTGTTTTGCTTCGGAAAGGTTCTGCCAACCTTCATCACCCAAGAGAATGATAACGAAACCCAGTTCAGGGCTCGAGTGAGCATGGAGAGGGTGACGCGCCTCATGAGAATGGGAAAGACAAAATTCCCTGGGGGATTTGCTGGGCTGTCTTCAGAGACTTTCCGCCTTCACTGTATGCACCATTCACCTGGAAGTCTTGAGCACAGCAAAGAAATGCCATTGCTATACTTTAGACAGGGAAGGTGCTGCACAGTGCTGCTGGTGAACCCCCAGAGCTGGAAAAGGCTGCCTGTCATCGCAAGGCATACTGTAATTCTTACACTTATCAGTCCCTCCAAGACCACTGTCAAGCCATTAAGGTAAAAAACACATCATAGCCCGACAGTCCCCCTTTCATTAAATAAGGTCATTACAGAAAGTCAAAGCTGATGTACTTCACTAACAAGTCCCTTTTCCAAACACTTGGGAACACTGCCACAGCTTGAATTTAGGAACATCTGCATTGCTGCTCTGCAAGAGCTACTAAAGCAAGCACTTGCACATCTCTTGTGGGTACTTGTTCACCAGAAGTGTATATCTTGATGAAAGGCAAAAGAAGAAGTTGAAGTGTATGCATCGAGCACCAACAGTGGGCACACGCTAACCAAGAGCGTAGCGGGACATTACCGCAGAAGCAGGCACTTCCAGGTTTTGACTGTGCATCTGTTACAGGCACTAAGGGGAAGCTCAACCCAACATGATCTATATTCACATGATTACCATTCCTTGGGGTCCAGTGTGAAAAGAGAAAGGACTGCTTAGTCAGGAGAAGAGCAGATGTGGAGTGCATCTGTTTCTGACACTGGACAATCCCTTCTGGGAGCATCTTTGACAGCTTTCCTTTGCAGGTTTTGGATACTGCAGGCTAACCTTTGAAGTTACTGCTGTGGATATGTTATTTTTATGTGTCTTGTGAGCGAAAGAAGAAGTTCAGAGGTCATTTATTAATCAAAACATAAAGTGTTTGTGACACTTGCCTTTTAATACATGGGAGATTTTGAGAAGTTCCAGCTGAAATCCCCCTACGTGCTTTTCTTGTTGCTCTCAGAGCAACACTAGTGAGTTCCATCAGCTCTGAAGGGGTTTGAGTTTCTGTCTATGGGTGATGCAAAAAAGGAGAAATACCTACTTTTTTTCCTTAGGCTGGCACAACCATAGTAAATAAATAAGGTCTAGACATAAAAAAGAGGGGGAAAAAGAGCAAAATTGATGGTATACAACATCTTGCTTTCACCCTCTGCTACTTATGGCTTGGAGGATTCAGATAACCATGTGAGGTTGCATTTGGAATTGTATCAGGATGTTATAGATGCCATTATGCATGTGGCACAAGCTTTTTCCTCCTTTCAAAGGCTCATTTGGTGTCTATTCATCCATCTGCAGGTCTTAATTGACCTCCCCAAAGAAAATAATATCACTTTTCCTTAAGAAGAATAAACAGATTTATTTTGTTTGTTCAAAAGCAGGATCACTAAATGATAGTGATATGTTAACAAAAATGGTGATTTGCATTCACCATTGTTACTTTGCTATGTAAATAGCAATATGGAGTACTACTAGGTATAATGATAGAGACTTTTTTATACAGAGGGCATTCATAGTAACTCAGAATTGAATAAAACTAGAATCACCACTGCAGTTAAATGGTAAACCCCCCTAACACTCTCAAAACCAGGGACTTAGAAGTAGTGCGGTTTGGACCCCTCACTTGTCAGCACATGCACTGAAGTAGAAGGCAGGCTGGTGAGCTTCCGTAGAGAAACCTGTGGATTGCTCTCCCAAATGGAGCTACATGCCTTTATAGAGCTTGGCCTGAGCAAACTAAGAAAACAGCTTTGAGCAGGGGCTTGGATTAGATTGGTGTCCTCATGTCCTTGGATGGAGGTCTCCTTATGTGTTCAGATCTTCCCTCAAGTTCTACCGACTTTGAAAACAGCTTCCTGTACTCCTCCCTTTCTTTAGTCCTTGCAAATACAATTGGTATAGATGGGGATCAGCAAGCAGGCTTCATGGGAGTAAGAATGACTGACGCCTACAGCTCATCTTTCTTGCAAAGACTAAATGTAGCAGCATCAACAAATCTTCCAGGGTGAGATGGAGCTCAGAACAAACGATCTTTAATGAAGGTTTTAAGAGGTACCATGATGCCCCCAAAACACAACACTAGAGGGAAGAGAGTTGAACAAGCACAAAACCTTCACATGTGAAACAGCAGTAAAGCTAACCCTGCAGGTACATTTAAGGCAAAAGGACAAGAACTTTGGCTCATTTAAGCAGCTTAGCCCTTGCAGGGGTAGGAGGACGTGTGGTTTTATGGTTTCACTACCTGTTGCTTTTTATTCACCCATAATCACCACTTGCCAGTTGGGATGTTGGGATGCTGCTGTATTGAACTGCGTAACAGTTGAACTGAATAACAGAACTGAAATACAGATGCTTCTACCCTCTTGTCCTTTGTTTTCTCCGAGCTCTTAGACTGGATATAAGGAAGAAGTTCTTTACTGTGAGGGTGTTGGGGCACTGGAATGGGTTGCCCAGGGAGGTTGTGAATGCTCCATCCCTGGCGGTGTTGAAGGCCAGGTTGGACAGAGCCTTGGGTGCCATGGTTTAGTGTGAGGTGTCCCTGCCCATGGCAGGGGGATTGGAACTGGATGACCTTAAGGTCCTTTCCAACCATAACTATTCTATGATTCCACGATTCGTTTCCAGACCGCTGCCTGATCACTTTCATGTTTGTCACAGACAGAGTTATGGGGAGGGAGAGGTAAGATCAGATATCAAGGTTGGCCACCAAGATAATGGTAAAACATTTGCTCTTTGCTCAAATGTGAGCAGAAAGAAGTGGATTTTGTCACTTTGTGTTTTACAGCCATCTCGGACCCCAAAGTGGAGGCGAAGCTTATGCCCAGCCCAGACAAAGCTGAGGATGCCGAGAAAGTGGTGGGGATGAGCTGCTCAGCAACAGGAAAGCCAGCTCCCAAAATCACCTGGCATCTTCCCAGCATCCTGCAGCAGAAACCGAGGGAGTACCACGTCCAGCTTGGCAACCAGACTGTGGCTGTCATCAGCAATTTCACCCACACCTTCTCCAAAATCCTCCAGGAGTACCCCATCACCTGTGAGATCCAACACCCCTCTCTAAACGTGACCCTGGTTCTGCCCACGGAGAGCCTGGTGCAGGGTCAGTGTGTAATCCTGCTCCTGCTCTGGAGTGGGGAGGGAACCACTAAACACCTCCTGGGTTAGAGCAGGAAACTCCTCAGAGGTCCTTGGGAGGGATAGAAGAGGTGCCAGGGACCATGCAGGCACCCTGGGTAATGGCATACAATGTCTTACTGCCCATTAGGTCCCCTGTGTGCCTCAGCCTCCCTGCCTCTGCTAAGGACTCACAGGGTTTCCTTATCATGTAGGATATGGACACACCATCCACATGTGTTGGCTTTGGGTAGCTCAAAGGGCTGGGTGATGCACACCCAACCACAGCATTAGACCCCGAGGACAGGTCTGTTGGCAGTGCCACTTGTGTGCATGCTGGCATTGGCTCCAAGTGCCCCTATCCACCCTGTCCCACTCCAGGGACTGGGCAAGGGATGTCTGAAATGGGTCTGGGGTTTTTTATTATCTTCATGCACAAACTGAGTATCCGCTGCTTTCCCCACAGGTCTGGATAGCCGGGATAGCAGTGTGGCACCTGCCATCGTCATTGCAATGGGGGTCTTGGTCCCCCTGACTTCCCTCCTCCTTCTTGTCTGCCTCCTCCACCGCTGCCTACGTGACCCAGAGAGAAACCCAGCGTGGCCATGCTGGGTAGGTTTGCCTTTCCCCAGGGTGCTGCTGGGCTCACCTCCACCAGTGACAGGGCTCGACGCCAGGACCCAGCTCTGCTCAGCCACCCCAGCACAGGATGCATGCTGCGCAGCCCAGGCTGCACCTGCGTTGGAGAGGGACAAAGGGAATAGCCCCCAGCCAGTCAGCTGGATGGCAGCATTTTGGGAAGGGGAAACCTGAAGGTGTTGAGCCAGGCCCATAGGTACCCAACGGTGACGACAACTACAGATTGTCCACTTTCTCAACGACAAGGCATGCTGTTACTACATTTATGCCCAAAACAGTTGTGCAAGCAGTGGCCGTACCCTCGCACCCTTCTTTTGCATCTCCTAAAATAACCTCCCCCTTGCCTGGCTAGAGCAGCTTGTGAAGGAAGCAGCTTCAAGGACACATCTCAGACAAAATGGGGTGCTAGAGGAAGAGGATGTCTCTCTGAGGAAAGCCCAGGGTGCTGCAGTGCAGCAGGGGCTGAGCTGCTGCTGGTTGCCCCGACGCAGGGGATGAAGGATGCAGGCTGGAGGTGGGGGTAAGACAAGAGAGGTGGCATCGTTTCAGAAAACTCAGCCCAGTTTTATGCTGAAGGCACCTCATCCTCCTTGTGGGCTATGCCCAGAGGGTGCACACTGGCATCTGATGGAGGGTTTGGAGGAGAGAAAGCAGTGGGAGGAGATGCAATACATGTCTTCAATGGGCATCATGCCTCTAGGTCCAAGCTGGAGACTACTGGGGAGGGTTATGAGGGGAAAACTTCAGTCTCTTGCACAGAGAGACGCAAGGACCTATTTGGTAACACAAATAGCCAGGACCTTTACCCCCTCCACTTTAAATATCCATACATTTAGAAGAAGGAAAAACCCCAACAACCTCTCTTCTGTTAGGTCTTTCCTGCCTGTAGCAAGGCCAAGAAGTGTGGGCAGCACAGAGCTGTGGGCAGGCAAGCCCCAGCAGTGTCCCCCCAGCCCTGGCACATCACTGAACGCCTGAGCAGCTGCTCGCCCTACACGTGCAAGAGAGGAGCTTCATCCAACAGAACCTCAGGCTTCCAAGCAAACCTGCCGTGACTCGCTCCAAGAGGAATACAAAAGACTATTTATAATGGATATTTATTTAGTGACACTGGACTATTCTGTTTTGGAGGGGGGGGGGGGGGAAGCTGTAAAGTATTTATTTGAGACTCAAGGTGGCTGCCTGGATCTGCGCAATGAAACTCACGTGTTGTGTTGTCCAAGGGTTTGAATGTTTTGTTTGTTCCTTTCCTTAACGTTGCAAGCTCAAAAGTGGGTGGCAGGTTGCCCGAAATAGAGCAGCATCTTGTAGGGATGCTGGCCTTGGAGGTGCCAAAGTAGAGCCCCATGAGGAGCCAGGGCGCAGAAAACCCATGGCTGTGCTGTGTGAGCTTTAGGGTGATGAATCCGTTCCCCAAAGGGCATGAAAGATCAGGCCAAGACTGCAACCAGCCTGAACACGCAGCCCAGGCACCCGGAGAGGCAGTCCAAGCCAGGACTCATTAGGCACGAGGAAATTGCCAACTCCAGCTTCCAGCAGCCTTTCCTAGAAAGTAATGTAAATAATGCAAAAGCAATGACATAGACGTCGTCCCCCCCTTTTCCCTGTGATTTCCACAGCCCCCTTTTTAATCCCCCTAATCCATCACAGCTGTGTTTCCAAGCATCCCACCTGCCTGCATGAGGCAGTAGGGAAATAAAAGGGCAGTTGGAGGGGCAGTAGGCTGCTTAGTGGGTATTGCGTGTCATGGTGTGATGGAATGTGAGTGCAGTGGGAAGTAAGGGGCTGGGGGGCTACACATGGGAAGCTATGTAGTAGTATAGGGGCAACAAGTATTGTTTACTGCTCGGATTCATTGCTTATAACCCATAGCTAATTCCCCGAAACCCTATGCCCATGAAATCTTTCCTTATAGACCCAGGAAGGAGAAATGAGGTTGCCCACAGGGTGAGGTTTTGTGGGGAGCATCAAGACATCAGGTGCAGGCTGCTTCCTCTCCTCCTGGCTTCCCGGAACAAGCGCGTGTCATCTGCATTTTCCTCACCCATCTATTTCAAGTGCGCATCCCGGATGAATCAGGTTGAGTTGTAGTCAGAAAACCAAGTAGCCTAAACGAAAGTGACTGTGTAAGTTGAGAATGAATAAGTCCTTGTCATTAAATGCCTTTCTGGGCTCTGTAATGCTTAGTAATAGCACAGCTGGTGAGCGTGTGGAAAAGGGAAGTGGCTGCAACCATCGCAATCAGGAATTTCTCTCCTGAGCCCCATAATTGCCAAAGGAGGAAGCTCCACTTTGTCCAAGCTTTCCCACCATTGCAGCTTAATTTCCTCCTCCTGTGGGAGGGAAGGGACCAGGGGGAAGCAAGTTTTATCCCCTTGGTTGGTGGTTTGTGGGGGGCAGATGCAGGTAAGAGGGTAAGGCTCATCCCTTGGCAACGCTCCTGAACAGGCTGTGCAGCGTCAGCCCTTACCATGCATCAGCATCCGTGCTTGCACTTCAGGGGGCATTTGGAGAGGACTGTTTTGAGTTTTAAAAGAAGGTTTCCATTAATGTTCAAACTAATATATCTTTTTTTAAAAGAAGAGTCTTACAGAAACAGGGGTCTCTGGATGCGGTTAATAAAAAGGATCTTCGGGGGAATAAGGGAAGGCACAAAGCTGGTGAGAAACCTTTATAAACCCTGGAAGACTGCAGAGGTTACCCATTAATTTGTACAGTCTGAGCATGTGGAGGGAGGGAAAGCAGGGTTCAGGGTCCATGTATGTGTGGGATTGTGGTTTCTTTTGCTATTCAGCTGAATGTTGAACTGTGAAAGCTTTTTTAGGTTTCTGCTTATGAGCACGACAGGACCAGAGGCCTAATGAGAGAACTTAAACATTATCACTTTGTCTGTCCCAGTAATCGGAATGAGAACAGGAAACGGCATAAAAAGGCAGAACTCTAAAAACCAATACATTTATTTACCTTCATGCTGTATAAAGCCAGCTACTAAAACGCAACGCCATAAATTGCTATGTGGTAGTGCTGTGGAGCTTTGGCTTCATGTAGCAATGAAAGGGATATAAGCATACAGGCTATGTAATATTAACTGGCTGTTAGCTGGGGAAAGTAATAGAGTATGAAATAGGTACAAACCCAGGGAAGAAACAAGCATGTGCCTGAGGGCATCACAAGTTTTTACTGTGGGTGAGTAACATCCTAACTACTGTTCTGAGGTTTCCTTGTGATTTCCTTGTGCTTCTCTGCCTCCGTTAACAATCAACGTGACTACCGTTAACAATCTGGCAGTAACCCTTTGGAGGTGATATTTCAGATGGGTTTATGCATATGCTTGGTACTTGTTTTAATAGACAGTACCTAGGCTATGAAATGTTGTGGATTTTGAATAGGTGTTCAAAAGTAAAAATGAAACTGGTAAGGAATCGCAGTGGAATAGACTGTATTATTGTGCTGCTCCAATAGCAGTGGTATGAAGCAGGTAAGTAAATGGAAACAGAGCATATTTATTTGCCAAGTTTACTCTACAGGAATGTTCTGAGCTAATATTGCCCCAACCGGAGGGAAAAAACCCAGCAACAACCAAACAAAGGAATCTTGGGTTATTCCCTGTCTCATGTCTGGGCTGTTATTGGACTGAGCCAACCCTGTCTTAAGCCACCTCCTGTCACTGCAGCTTTTCCAGCCCAGGGCAAGAGTGGTGTTGATGCAGGGCATAATTTTCCTCTAACAGGTAGAAAGGGCAAGTGGGAATGCCACCCTTCTGCTTGCCTCTTACGTGGGTAAGACTGGCTCTGGGAAATCTGCTTCTCTCTGCAAACCAAATGGGATTATTTAGCCTGCGCCTCTCAGCTCTGGGATCCTTTGAACCTGACATTAGTCAGCTTGTTTTAACTCATGGAGGACCTTAACAGCGTGTCCTCTTAAGCTGTATATTATGTATATATATATGTATAGGTATGTAACAAAAGGTCCTCAGGCTGTATAATATGTCCAGGTTCCTGGTTTTGCATGCCAGGCTGTTTCAGAGATGTACCAAGTACCATGTTGATGGTTTCGTCTGCTGGGTACCAGGTTCCCAGCTCTAAGAGGGCAGTAAAGTGCAAAGGAATCACCCCAGGAGCTCTTGCTGAAGATGTGTCTTTGAAATAGAGCTGAAATGCTGCCCTTAGATGTTTTACAAGGCACTGGCTGAACCCAGTGTTGGCAGAGGCATGGGTCTAAATCCACACAGAGAAAAGGAACTTTGTTCTGCTGAGAGAAGATTGAAAGCATTGTTCATTATTTCTTGTTTCATAACCCTTGGGAAATAATTCATCTACTAAATAACACTCCAGTAGATTTTCTTATGAATTTAGGCATGGAAGGAAATATAACCTGCTCTTTTTCATTCAGTTTTCAGCACTAAGCCCCTGCAAATCACCTGAAATAAGAGAATGCACTAACTGAGTGCATTTTTCTTTCTTTCATAAATGGGAATATTGAACCAGCCAGATAAAAATCAAGCATATTCTTGTTTTCACTCTTGGTGTACCAGAAATGGCTCTATTTTGAAAGCCATACAATGGGCCTTCTCATATGTCCACTGCTTTCCTCTTTGCTCACATAAAGCTGTGTGTGAAAGGAGCACTGAACACCTGTCCAAGCTCTTTGTAGGTGGACGCTGCTGTAGTCTGCTCATTTTGGGGGTTTTAGCTGCCTATTGGCTGAGTAAAAGGAAATACCTTTCTTTGCTACAGGTTTTTCTCTAAATTCCAGAACCTACACACAAAGAGGAGAAAGGGGGAATGTCCTAGTGTAGTTTTCTGACGACATTTGCATACCTACTTCAAAGCAGTTTAATTTAAGGGCATTAAAAGTAGGCTGTCTCTTTTCTAGAGAGGATTTGTTGGTAGAAGCAAGGTGTCAGTTCTCTAGTCAATACTTCAGTATTTACCCTATGTATATAACGCCAGCATTTATTTCTGAAGACCTTCATTGTAAAGATTTCTGACCACGTCAAGACAATCAGACAGCATCCCTCAGAGTTTAGCTCAGACTGCACCACCAACAGAAAGTGCTGAGCTCCCTGCAGGCTGCAGGAAAGGGTGGAAACCTTCCAACTAGGATGCAGAAGAAGAAGGTGGCAAATCGTGGGTCATGGGTAATAACATCCCAGCCTGACAGGGATGTGAGGCACCAGGCTCTCCAGTGGGTTCTGGCCCAGCAGAAAGAGCCTGTGGTCACAGTGTAGTTTTAAGTTCTCGAGTCTC